GGGGTGGGGGAAACAGGGAGATGTCGGTCATAGGATACAGAATCCAGTTATAAGGCAAATCAGTTCTGGGGATCTAAGCACAGCATTGTGATTCTAGTTAATATTACTGTATTATATATTAGAAAGTTTCTAAGAGAGTAGATCTTAAATGTTCCCACCACAAAAAAGAAATGGTAATTACATGACGTGATGGAGGTGACAGCTAACCCTATGGTGGTAATCATTTTGCAATATAAAAGTGCAGTATATCAAGTATACACCTTAAAATTACACTATGTTATATGTCAGTTTTATCTTAATAAAGCTGGGGGGAAAGATTCTACTGACTAAAAGCTCTTTTATTTTTGTAATCGTAGTAAAAGGCAAAATTTTCACAATCCTCTGATAATTGCATGGCTTGTTTGACAAACTATTACAGTCATAAATACTGTGATATTTTACTCCAAAAATTCCAGTTTATATGGAGACTGTTCAAAATCACTGTGTGGACATGTGCAAACCTCATTAATACATAGACTTATTAATATATGGATTGACACTGGTATATCATGTACGTATTAAGAATAAGACTGAAAAATACACAGCTTAGTTTTAGAGGAAGGTCACCAAGTGTTTGAATTCTTGAATACTGCACTTGTATTCCTGACTTTACAGTACTAAGGTGCCCTTAATTGAGGGCAAAACAATCTACAGTATTTTGGCCAACTTGTTTTATGAGGCACTGTGTTATTTGCTTTGTTATTTCTGGAATATTTCAATTAAAGTCACCAGTACAATTGCACAACGTGTAGAGAACAAAAGTGTCCAGATGCTAACTTTGTTATGGAGGTGCTGCTCATATGAGCAAATCTAGAAATTTCCATATTATCGTAAGGATTTGAAGCACTAGACTTAATTTTGAGATCTCCAGGATCTGAATTTACACTTATTAGGTTTAATTTCATTCAGATCTATTTCCATGATTAAAATGAACATATTAGATTGAACCATACAAAATTACCATTTTTATATTCAAAACAAAATTGAATATTGGCCATTTCATATGGTTCAATTTATAGAATTGTTTTTATATCCTGTCTAAATATTCAGTAGAAACTAAATTTAGCAGGTTGTGTATATTGAAACAAGTTCCTCCTAGTGAAATGTGTAAACTTAATGTCTGATTAGGATTGTCTTATTTGTAACATTTTAAATTTAATTCCATCACTGCTCTGAATCAACTGAAAATGAAAAGCTTCAAAGGAGAAAACATTTTGAATTAAAATGCCCCTGTAATTTCTTTCTTAGTAAGGAATGGGGTCATAACTATTTAGATGAGAATATTAAAAGAAGAGAGAAAATATTGTCCTATTTAAAAGTAGACATCACATTAAATTTATGTACATACCAAGTTCAAGGACAGTCCTTGGGAATATGTTTTAAGGGGTAGAAGAGAAGGAAAAATAAAGGTCAGAGAGGTCAGAATAAAGAAGCGCCACAAAAGTTGCAGAGGTGTTCAGAAGCCTGAAGACTTAAACAAGGCCAACCAACAGATATGCCAACCAAGATGCTGCAGATGCTGGCGATTACTTCCAAAAAGCCATTTCCATGGAGCAGCGGGAGTAGAAACTAAATTGTAGTGATTAAAATGTTACTTGAATGAAGTTAGAAGTAGAGGATATGAGTCAGCTCTTTCAGAAGTGTAGTGACCAAAGCACCCTTGCCTGTTATGGTAGCTCAATAAAAGAATAGAATCGAGGGAAGGTTTGTGGTTATTTTTTGTCAGTCTTTTTTTTTTTGCGGTACGCGGGCCTCTCACTGCTGTGGCCTCTCCCGTTGCGGAGCACAGGCTCCGGACGCGCAGGCTCAGTGGCCATGGCCCACAGGCCCAGCCCCTCCGCGGCATGTGGGATCCTCCCGGACCGGGGCACGAACCCGTGTCCCCTGCATTGGCAGGCGGACTCTCAACCACTGCACCACCAGGGAAGCCCTTTTGTTAGTCTTTTAAAAGATCAGTATGAGGTGCTTGTTTGTGAGTCAAAGGTAAGGATACAATGGAGAAGTCATTTTAACGTTATTAATTCTTCCAATCCATGAGCACAGTATGTCTATTTGTGTCATCTTCAATTTCTTTCATCAGTGTCTTATAGTTTTCTGAGTACAGGTTTTTTACCTCCTTAGTTAGATTTATTGACAAGCTTTTTTTTTTTTTTAGGCCGTACCTCCTTGTGGCTTAAGGGATCTCAGTTCCCCCACCAGGGATTGAAGCTGGGCCACAGCAGCGAAATCACTGAACCCTAACCACTAGACCACCAGGGAACTCCCAATTCTCAGGTATTTTATTCTTTTGGTTGTTATTGTAAATGGGATTGTGTTCTTAATTTCTCTTTCTGATAGTTTGTTGTTAGTGTACAGAAACACATCAGATTTCTTTATATTAATTTTGTATCCTGCATTCATTGATGAGTTCTAGTAGTGTTTTTGCTAGAATCTTTAAAATTCTCTATGTATAGTATCATGTCAAAGGCACAGAGTGACAGTTTTATGTCTTCCTTTCCAATTTGGATGCTTGTATTTCTTTTAGTTGTCTGATTGCTATGGCTAGGACTTCTCTGTGAGAGTGGGCATCCTTGTCTTGTTCCTGCTCTTAGAGGAAATGCTTTCAGCTTTCCACTATTGAGTGTGATGTTAACTGTGAGTTTGTCATCTACGGCCTTTATTATGTTGAGGTAGGTTCCCTCTATGCCCACTTCCTGGAGAGTTTTAAATCATAAATGGATGTTTAATTTTGTCAAAAGCTTTTTCTGCATCTATTGAGATGCTCATATGATTTTTATTCTTCAATTTGTTAATGTGGTGTATCACACTGATTGATTTGTGGATATTGAACCATCCCTGCATCCCTGGGATAAATCCCAGTTGATCATGGAGTATGATCCTTTTAATGTATTGCTGAATTCAGTTTGCTAATATTTTGTTGAAGATTTTTGCATCTATGTTTATCAGTGATAATGACCTATAATTTTCTTTTAGTGTGTGTGATATCTTTGTCTGGTTTTAGTACCAGGGTGATGCTGGCCTTGTAGACTGAGTTTGGAAGCATTCCTTTTTCTGCAATTTTCGGGAATAGTTTGAGAAGGATGGGTGTTAACTCTTCTCTAAATGTGTAGTAGAATTTGTGAAGCCATCTGGTCCAGGGCTTTTGTTTGTTAGGAGTTTTAAAATTACTGAGTCAACTTCATTCCTGATAAGTGGTTCATTCATAGTTTCTATTTCTTCCTGATTCAGTCTTGGGGGAAGAATTAGCATTGTTAAAATAACCATACTAACCAGGACAGTCTACAGATTCAATGCAATCCCTATCAAAATACCAGTGGCATTCACAAAACTAGAACAAATAATTCTAAAATTAGTATGGAAACACAACAGATCCTGAATAGCCAAAACAATCTTAAGGAAAAAAAGAACAAAACAGGTGTATCACATCCCTGACATAAAACTATACTACAAAGCTACAGTCATCAAACAGCATGGTACTGGCACAAAAACAGACACATAGATCAAT